AGAAATAGAAAGGGTTGAAATGACAGAATAAAGGAGAAGGAGAGAGAGAAATGGGAAATTTAATACACAAATGATCCAAGATGAAGGAATAACACAGAGAGAGAGAGATAAGATAAAAAGTAATATAATATGACTAAAAAGAGAGGAAATTGTGGAGGAGGAGAAAGAGAAGACTAAGAGTAGGAGACTGAGATAAAAGAGAGTGTGGTGAACGTGCGTCAGTACAGACACAAACGAGGCCTCAGATTGTATGCAGACATATTCGTCAGCACCAGTTACATCCAGTTTCCCCACCCACTGTTAGCAGCAGGACAGCTTGGCATGTCTAGCTAGATACAGGCCTCTCCGCAACTGGTTAAGATCCAGGTCTTGGTAAGATATCTCATGCCAATAAAAGATGGGGGAAAATAACAGTCGACAGTTGGCAAGACACAGTGTCTTGTGAAGACAGTCCTGTGACCATTTTGTTCCTCAAGTTGCTATGGTTTCTGAACAAGTGTTATTTTTGTAGTTACATCCTCTTTTCCCTCTCTCCCAATTATTTCCATAGTTGTTGGGAGAACAATCCATTAGATGTTTCCCTCCCAATCTTAACAGAATCTTTCCTTACATTACAATAACCTATTTCAATGCTTATGGGTGACAGCAAGAAATTAGTGACTCTTGTTTTGGGACGAAATTTCAGATTGGGTGTTTTTTTCCCCCTCTACACTGGTTTCTTAGAATTTACTGTTGTTCTCTTCCCTGTATCCACTCGTTCGTTCATTCATTCCTTTCTCCTACCAACCACAACAGCACATATCCTATGATGTACCCCAACAGAAGACACCTTTCATCTCCATGATAGTCTACTTATAATCGCAAGTTACCAATCACTTGCCTAGATGATAAACATACTAGACATACAGGAATTTCAGAATGGATCACTAACACACCCACATGTCCCTCCTTGATTCTGTACAACTACGCTAATATTATATAAACTTGCTAATGACCCAATTTCTTGTGGACAACATGAAGGGTCTCTTTTGACGGAACGATGCACTCGCCTTCACTCAAACTGAAGTCCTACATGCCAGACAAAGATGAAGACTCTTTTATCGAGAATAAGGCAAGTCTTGTTTACCATTTCTGCCATTCAACTCTGGTTCTAGTTCACTATGTCTGTCACATGTAGGGGATACTGATGCACTCGGTGAGCAAACTATGTGTTATAATGCTCGTATAAGATCATAGTTCTGGTTAATAATATTGTGAAGAAAAGGTTTAATCATATGAGGAACATAAATTAATAAAACACTAATAGCAAATACTGTAGTTCAATGTTGTTCATTCCTCCTATCACAACTGTATGATGTACCCCAACAAAAGACCTCTCTCATCTCCAGGAGGGTCTATTTATAATGGGGAATCACCAATCATTCGCCCAGATGACCAACTAGATATACAGGCACCTCAGAATGGAGCACTAACATACCCAAAAGTCCCTCCTCAATTCCATTCAACCACACTAATGTTATTGTGGCAGACATGAGACAGAACCTGGGACCAACACAACTGGTTGCGACTTGCCTTGTCTCCGCCAAAAAAGAGCCCGTATTTGCTTAGCATGTAAAGCTACTGCAGTTGAAATGAGGGAGAAAAAAGAACTTACTGCTCTGCCGTAATCCGTCCTCGGCCAGATAACGTAAAAGAATGATGGGGGACTTGCATTGTATTTTTATGCAATAAAGATGCAATGCATTATGGGACAGGGATGCAATGAATTATGGGATCACATGAAAATGCAAGGGATTATGGGTATATGGACAAATATAAAAGCAACTACTTTTTCCCAGTGCAGTCAGTTCTTTGAGTGACATTCATGGTTGGAGGCTAGAACAGTCTGTTAGTGTGATTTTGAGACAGAACTCAAGAAGGAACGACTCGAGGTTGAAATACCAGCTGGGAGAGCTTGAATTTACTCGCTGGTTGCTGTTTTCTTTATTCGCCACAGTTATACACAGTTAATGAACCAACTTCTTGTGGAACAACAAAGAAGAGAAGGGTCTTTTTTGATGGAACAATGTACTCACCTTCTTTGAAATCGAAGTCCTACATGCCAAAGATAAACTCTTTCATTGAATAAGGCAAGTCCTGTTTACCATTTCCGCCATTCGACTCTGGTTCTAGTTCACTATGTCTGCCACAGGTAGGAAATACTAATGCCCTCGGTGAGCAAACTATGTGTTATAATGCTCGTATAAGATCATAGTTCTGGTTAATAATATTGTGAAGAAAAGGTTTAATCATATGAGGAACATAAATTAATAAAACAATAATAGCAAATACTGTAGTTCAATGTTGTTCATTCCTCCTATCACAACTGTATGTATAGTACAATGTACCCCAACAGAAGACCTCTCTCATATCCACGATGGCCTAATTATAATGGGGAATCACCAATCACTCACCCAGATGACCAGCATACTAGACATATGGGCACCTCAGAATGGAGCACTAACACACCCGAAAGTCCCTCCTTGATTCCGTCCAACCACACTAATATTATACACAGTTACTAATGAACCAATTTCTTGTGGAACAATAAAGAAGAGAAGGGTCTCTTTTGGCAGAACGACATACTTGCCTTCTCTCAAATCAAAGTCTTACATGCTAGACAAAGATGAACTCTCTTTCATCAAGAATAAGGCAAGTCCTGTTTACCATTTCTGCTATTAGACTCTGGTTCTGGTTCACTATGTCTGCTACACTTTGCTATTGATGGTTCAGACTGTGGTCTTACTATTTCTGAATGATTTGAAGATGCTGAACTAATCTGTGATCTGTGTGGTATGAAGAACATTGCTAGCATTCTGCCATTTTGATTGAAAAGAGGCATGTTTAAAACTCAGCAAGGAAGAAAGAAAAAATGTAGGCTGTATCAGGGATGCCCTGTACATTGCCTTTGACACAGATCCATTCATAGCATACAACCAGTTTGTAGCTAGGTGCTTGAATTCAAATGAATCTGTTGACATCTATTTGGCAGACCTCTGCAGGCTGTCAAACTTTGTATGGAGGGGTGTTTGACCATGGACCTGCATGTGCATTTGTAGAAGGGTTGCCTGAGAACATCAGGAAGCTACTTTAGGCTTCCTCTCAAATGGATGTGCTGGATGTCAGCCAGGTTTTAGACTGGGCTAGAGCCATACTAAAGGATGATACACTGGCAACAGAATTGATTGTGGCAGCCACAAAGCATGAG